ACATCACCAAGGGGATAATTAAAAAGAAAAGCAGAAGAGGTTTTGGTTAGACTAATGGAAGTACTGTCGTTCCCAGCCAGTAGGAATGGGGCTGAAGCAATGAAGAACTCACCTGTGGGGACAGTTCAGGCACTGTCCCGGGAGGTTCCATGTCTCCAAGCATTTCTGTGAGCGCAGGCCTCGGCTAGCTTGGCGCTAACAGCTGAGATGTTTATTAGTGAGACAGCTGCTGTCCAGGCCCACCCGTCAGGGGGAGGCCAGAGGGCTCCGGAACTGCGGAGAGGAGATCAGGAGGGCACGCTGGCCACTTGCCTCCCAGCTGGCGGGCCTGCTGTGAGGGCTTGGGCAGCAACTCATGGCGGCCCTTCCAGGCTGCATCCTCATCAGCCCAAGGCCAGTGCAGGTCTTCAAAATCCTCCCAAGCCCTTCCCTGGGGCTCAGAAGACACACACACACCCATTTGAGACCCCACGGAGCCCTGTCAGCCGAACCCTGCAGGGCCTCTCCTGCTGCCAGCCTGTCCTGACTGCCTGCCAGTTTTAACTCACCAGTCAGTTCCCCACCCTGCCTGCTGGCAATATTCCATACACACCCCCCATCTGCCAGCCTGAGGAAGGGCGTCTCACTGAACCGAGAAAAGCACTTCCAGCTTCTGGCACATCTCAGTCTCCTTGCCTGTGAAATGGGACAATGGCCATTGTCCCCTGGAAAAGGGGAACCAGCCCAGGTTGTAATGGGTCTGCTTCTATGTTACAGGATTCTAACACTGTTGGTGTTTACCCTGGGAGCTGCCACTTCTGACGGGCGAGCAAAGTGAAAGCGTGGGTCTTTGGGTACTTGTTAGGGCTAGGAGGGTTGAAATTATAGCTCACCACTTACTGCCTGTGTGGCCTTGGACAAGGTATGTCTTTCTGAGTTTCTACCTGCCCATCACAAAGGACAGGACCCATCACAAAGGACAGGACCTGGTGTTTGCTTCACCAGGCCCAAGAACCACATGGGCTGATGGGGGTGGAACACCCAGGACAGTGAAGAACATGCAGAAGACATGTCTGGTGAGCCCAGGTCTCATCAGGGGAGCTCACATGACTTTCGGGGTGGCTGAGATTCATGTCAAGAACTGCCTTGTGACTATGGTGGGTGACCTACTGCTTTGGGTCTTGGCTTTGTTTGCTCAAGTGGGACTCGGGTGCTATAGCTCATCTGTGAAATGGGAGAATTGAAAGCATCTATTTGTGTGAGTATAAAATCAAATCATGTTCTTAAAATATGATGCTGCCCTAAAATGGTTATAACCGTGTTTGTAGATGGGACAAAGGCTGAATGTGTGCTACCAGATATGGAAAAGGAAGACAGCCTGGCGGGGTGGTGGTGATGGCCTGGAGCAGGGACAGACTGCCTTTTAGTTTTGATCAGATATTCAGTCAACAGACAGAGATGAAGTACCAACTCAGCAGCTGGCCACTTCCGGCCAGTCCATCAGTCCTCTGGATTTGGGATCTGTGGAGGAGTTTACACTTGGTGAGGAGCCTCTGTCCTGGCAGGGAGGGATGCACAGATCAGGAGATGCCTACAGTGGAGGTCAGAGGGGGTGGGCAACCTTCCCTGCCTTCAGGCCAGAAAGCCAGTTCCTCAGCTAAGTCTCACACCCACGGCTGTACCCGACAGCCCCTTCCCCACAACCTCCAGAAAGATAAGACCTTAAGAAATCCCGGGTTAAAAATCAACTCCCGGATTCCATTGTAGGTTATTCAAAGGAGCAAAAGAACAAAAATCAATGTGAACCCCGTCTCCTGCTCCGAGGAGACGTCGCATCTTGTTTGTAACCCAAAGGGATCAATAAGAGATGCTTCTCCTGTGCTGTTTTTTAAGCTCAATACGATGGATGCAATTTGGTTGACAATTATGAACAATCAGTTATCTTGTAGGCTCGCTCCCGCCGCCGCCGCCGGCTGCCTGATCGGCAATCATGAGCTATTACGGAGGTGGGGGCGGTGCCGTGGAGGGGCTGGCTCCTGCCCCCTCACCAAGGATCTCTCAGAAGTGAACAGAGTTCTCCGATCAATGGAGCCACTGGGATGGAGAAGTTATGAATGCTTCGGTGCAGAGTTCTGACTCTTCGAGTTTTCAGACCCATTAGCCGGGTTGAAGGTTTATATTGATGAAATCATCTATCTCTCTGCCTTTGCAAGTTGCAAGAGGCTGAGACTCCAGGTTAGGGCTGGCAAGAGCTCCAAAACCCAGGTGTCCCTGGCTGCCAATGAGACTGTGGAGAGGTGACAGCGTGTGACATGGAGAACTGAGCAGGGAGGCTGAAAAGCAGGCAGGGATTGGGGAGATGGTTCAATGAGGGGAAGAGCTTGCCATAGAAGCTTGAGGACCTGAGTTTGGATCCCCAGAACCCATGTGAAGAATGGACACAGTAGCGTGTATCTGTAATCCTATAGGTGGATGGAAGGTCGAGACAGACGAGAGGATCCCCGGAAGCACCTGAGTCAGCTAGCCAGGCTTTGCAACAGCAAACAAGAGGCTGGTCTCAGACAGGGTAGAACGTGAAGATAGAGTGCTGAGGTTGTCCTCTGAGCGCTCTATGTTCGCCATGGCATGTGTAGCATCTCCCCTCTTGGTCGGTCTCTCTCTCTCTCTCTCTCTCTCTCTCTCTCTCTCTCTCTCTCTCTCTCTCTCTGCCTGACCTTGAGCCTGGACATCTGTTGGTAAGACACAGCACATGTGACACCTCCTCGGGGGACTAAGCAAGGAGTCTGGCTGAACCTCAGGACCATCTGAGCAACTGGATCTTAACTGTCTTTTGGGGTCTTAGACCATTTTTGAAAAACTGATATAGGCTCAGCATCTCCCTCGAGAGTTTCTCAGGTACCCCAACACCCCAGGCTTGGCACAGGTTCTTAGGGGGGCTGTGAAAGCTAGGATCACAGTGTCAAGCTAAGGGGTTTGGAATCAGATAACTTTTAGTTAAGCTTTATCACCTGGAAGCTGCGCCATCCTGGGCAACCTCCCTTAGTTCTCTGAAACTGCATTTCCTTTCTGTACTGTGGATGCGAATCGTATCCACCATTACTGAATTGCAAGATAATCTATGGGGAATGTAATCCATTTGCATAGAGTATAGTAAGTGATTAATAAACATTAGCATTGTTGTTAACATGAATAATAATGATGGGAACTAGCTTTAAGCCATGGAATATCTTTATGCTGCACTGATAAAATGAGAATGCTTCTCACCATTTGTACTTACCCATTTGGTTATGCCCTGCTTGTTTACCTGGGTGCATATTTCACAAGGCTGGGGATCAGCAGACTGGCTTATTTCACCTCTGATTACCAGCTCCTCTCTGGGTGCTTGTCATGAGGTGGGTTCTCCATGCATATTTATTGGTGAATGGCTAGGTGGAAGGATAGAAGAAGAGGTTACAAGGTATTCCAGCTTCATCTCTGTCCTAGGTCCCACCTCTTCTAAAACATTCAGACCAAAACCAACTTATGGGAGAATGGGTTTGTTTCAGCTTATCTGTTCAAGTCCATTACTGAGGAAATTTGGGGCAGGAACTTAAAGCAAAAATATGAGGAATGCAGTTTGCTGGCTCTCATACTGGCTCATGCTTACTTGCTATTCTTATTCACCCCAGGACCATCTGCCCAGGGAATGGTGCTGCCCATAGTGGACAGGGCTCTTTTATATCAATTAACAATCAAGACAATCCCCCACAGACATGCCACAAGACAATCTCATCTACTGATTTCTTCTGTTGAGGTTCTCTTCTCATGTGATTCTAGGTGATGTCAAGTTGACAATTAACTAGGACACAAGGCAAAGCAACGACTTGCTGTGGACAGCTCCTTACAGGTGCTCAAAGCGGCAGTTAAAGGGTGGAAAGGGGGAAATCTCTGCCTCTTGGGGTGGGGTCTGGGGAGTATCTCATCCCTTAATCAGAATCTAGGTCTCCTCTGCCAGCTCAGGACATTGCTTCTAAGGACAGGATGGAGCCTGGGGTCCTGGATACAGTCTGACCCTTTCTTTCAAGTCTTTTCAACCCTGCCCTACTTTTCTTCCCACTGAACAGTGTGACCGTGTGCCCCATCCAGTCACTCAAGCCATCTCGAGTTCAGGAAATGATCTGATTCACTCGGATCCCCTGAGATCCCACTGGATTCTATTCTTGAGGTTATTTGCATTTTAATGACCAACGATAAAAGATTTAAGTCCAAGGAGTGATGTAGAGCTGTGGAGACTGCCCCAGCCCTTGCATGGAAGCCCTTTCTGATGTTCAGAGGGAAGGCCTCTGGGTAGGAAAGTATTGGGCCCCGGCTGATGTCCTGTGGGACGGGTTTGTGGGTCTTACAACTTTTATTCCATCTCCATTGCTAACATCCACTGCTCCAAATTACAGAACAAGACTGAGATCTCAATGTCGGGTATTGCAGAACATTTCAGAGTACCTCCTGGCTCTCCTTAACCTTTTCCTGCCCCTGTCCAGGCCAGCCTGGCTGGCAGCCCTGATTCTGTGTCTCTCAGAGGTGTGACAGCTGCAAGGGGAAGCAGAGGTGGACCTAGAGCAGGCAGCTAAGCCAGATCGGACTGCAGACAACCCAGCCCCTCCCTGTAGTTAGGGAGGAGCTAGTAGAGGGAGGGGCACTGAGGGCATACATACGGCTGGGAAATGCTTTACAGCCTCCTTTTAAACAGTCCCAAACCCAGGACCCCACAACCACCAAAGACTCTGAGAACATTGGGAGAGGCAGTAGAGCAGAGGGAGATGGGTCAGAAAAGGAAGCCATTTCCCCGGTATCCAAGGCAGGAAATTGCTCTCCCAGTGAAAATCCGACATGTTCCAGCCAAAGTGGCTTATCTGTGCAGTGCTCACATGGCATGCACAGAGGTTCACACAACATGCATGGGACTCACATGGCATGCACGGGGGCTCACATGGCATGCATGGGGGCTCACATGGCATGCACGGGGCTGGCGTTAGCTAATGGAGAACATAGCACCTCATCTCTGGCCTGAAGACTCAGCATGACCTTTCAGCCCTCTTCTCAGGCCACCCAGCGGCTTTCCATTTGTAGTGAAAAGAGCACAGATTGACAATGGCTGGGTCTGCTGGACAGGACCACACAGACAGACATCTGTTCGTGCCTGCATACGCAGGCACGGTGGACGGGGTCCAGACCCAATGCCCAAGTAAGACTGAACAGAAAAGGTGGCACCAAACTCAGCTGCAGATTGTTGGTGATCTGTGAGGTGCAGCCCATACCACAAGGTGCTGGAGAGCTAAGTCAACAGCTGCCTCGGTGGTAAAGTACTCGCCTCACATGCACAAGGCCCTGGGGTCAGTTCCCAGCACTTTAGACAACAATAATGAAGCAGGGCCAAGAGCCAGGAGTCAAGTGCAGCTGAGAGCGAAGCCCTCCCCCGCCCCCATGTTACTATACCTGTACACGGCATGGGCAGAGTCCTCTCAAATCTCACAACAAACGCCCAGGACATTCTACCGATGAGAAAACTGAGGCTAGATAATTTGTTTAACATCATGTAACCAAAAGGCAAAGCCTGAGTTCAGGGCCAGGTGCAAGATTCCAGCCCAAATATCAGGCAGTACTTCCATGACGTGCCTGCTGACCTTAGATCCTCAGATGCAAAGTGAACAACGTCACCTCTCTTTCCTACAGAGTTACTGGAGGAAAGTGGGCTACACACCTCTCTGTAGATGGACAGACAGACAGATGGACGTACAGAACTTTCTAAGCCTTGATTTTTTTTTTCCTTTTCAGTCTTGGGATTAGGGATTCAGAATGTGCGAGCTGGCGGAACATTCCAGATAATCTTACCACAAAAATCTGAGCCCGACAACTTGAGAAACTTTCTTTAGCTCATGAGAAAGAGTCGAAAGGATACGTGGAGATGAAGCAGCCTGTGCCAGATTTGGCAAAGTCTAAGAAGATGTGAGGGGCGAGGATCCTGACAGCTTGTACCTTGGCCTCTCTGAGCCCTGCTCTCTCTCCCAGGAAATGAGCCCATAGCCTCTTCTGCACCCGGTCACCCTTTGTCTGGTTGGCTCTGCTCCAAGTCACCTCCCCCAGGGCCTAAACCAACACATTAACTGTGCCTTTCCCTGAGCCAGGGACCACAGAGGAAGCCCCCAAGTAGGTTCTCTGAGGATGGGAGATGATCACTAGCTGGCTGTTGGCTTTGTATGTCAAAGAACTGGGCACCTGATGGACAGAACCATCAGGTATAGCTGACCTGGGAAGACTGAGGCATCAGACTGGCCATTTGGAATCTGCCCTCTCTGCCCGTCATCCCAGGTAATGGCAAAGCTGCATCCATCTGCAGAGACTGGTGGGGCATCTGGCGGGCCAGGCTGCCTCCTGCACTCTGGAACATTCCAGTTGTGGGCTCTCAGAGATGAGCACACTCCTAGGGAGACAGATGTTGAGAAACAGCAGTGCAATGAAGTTGATCACTGACAGCTTTGTCCACAGCCAGGAGGCCTCTGTGAGCAGAGAACAGGGCACCGGGGAAGGACTCAGGCAGGGGCTGGGCTCATCTCCTCGTGCTCAGCCCCACTTTTCCTGAAGAACTTTCTTCTCACCCTTTTTATTTGTTTACTTTGTTTTTGAGATACAGTCTCTAGTAGTCCAACCTGGTCTCCAACTCATTGTATAGGCAAAAACGGCCTTGAATTTCTGGTTCTCCTGCCTCATCTCCCAACTGGCATGTACCACCATGGAGTTTGTAAGGAGCTAATTATCCAGACTAAGGCTTTGTGCATGTTAGGGTAAACACTCTATCAACTTTGCACGCCACCTTTTGTGAGACTCCGCTCTGTCAAATGTGTGAAGATATACGTATGCTGACCCATGTGTGTGCCTATACTTACACGGGCACGCTGTGTGTGACACATGCATGAGTGCACGCATTTAACACTTGTGTGAGCTCGTATGTTTGTGCAAGTGCGCACTCCTAGGCCTCCTTCTGACTCCCATCCCCACTTGGGCTTCCAGGGTCAATTCTTGGCTTCTTCCCTCCAGAGTCTATGCTCTCCCCTGAGGCTCTCACTTTTGCCCACAGCGTCCTTTCTCCTTCAGGAAACGAAACAAGCCACCCAATCAAATATGCGTCTCCAACACAGACTTCTTCCCATGCTCTCACACCCACAGAGGATGGTCTGGACAGGTCTGAAACCTGGGACCCTAAAACTGTCTCCTTTGGTTTTCCTAAACTCCCAGTGCCTACATTGTCAAGGTCGTCGTCGTGGTGGTGGTGGTGGTGGTGGTGGTCGTCGTCGTCGTCGTCGTCGTCGTCGTGACCCTTCCTGGTTCCTTCACTTTCTCATCTCCGGGAAAGGCCCGGCTCCTTCCCGTGGTCCTCTCACCAGAACCTCACTAACTCCTGACCCATCCATTCAGTCGGGGTCAACAAAATCATTTTTTAAATCACAAGTGTGGAGCCTGATGACACACGCCTGTAATCTCAGCTACTAGGGAGGCTGACACAGGAAAGCGGCACTTCAAGGCTTACCTGGGCAACTTAGTAAGACATCATCTCAAGACAAGATAGATAGATAGATAGATAGATAGATAGATAGATAGATAGATAGATAGATAGATAGATGATAGATAAAATAAAAAATAAAAGGAAGGCTGGGAATGTGGCTCAGTGGGCAGGTTTCCCTAACAGGCATAAGGCCATTGCTTCAATCTCAATTCTAAAAAACACCAAAAAACTGGGTTATCTTATTTCTCATTCAGACCAGTTTCTGGGCTCCTGTGGCTTGCCCCAGATCTCCCTCTCTGCTGCTGGTAACCGGTGGGAGGGAGCATGACTTTCTGGGGAGACCTCCAAGAATGCCACAGAGTGATGGAAACCCAGCACAACAACGTGGGAAAGTGCCACAAAGTGTCTTATGTAATATATATATGCTATGTAAACATGTTTTATATATTGTATAAATATGCATGCGCACTGTATAAAATATGTATTTTCTTAATTTCGGTTCTCTGGTTTGAGAGAGAAGCAGTGTAGCGTGTGTGTGAAGTGGCGAACGTGGAAGGAAATGAGTTCGGCACGTAACAGCGTGCACAGAAAACCTGCCACTCAACTGCCTTCCACCCCTTCATTCAGCATCTACTGACACCCGCTGTGTCCCGTCCAGGGGCTCAAAGACAGACAAAGGTACGAAAGTTCTGCCCTTAAGCATTTGGCATCCAGTATAAACTTCCTCTCAAACTTTAAACCCAGAGAAAAATCCAGTAATTTCTATAGAGTCCCAACCCCCCTCTGAGTTAAAGTTCATGGGGTCATGGGGTTCATGGGGTCATGGGGTGATAGTGTACAAATGGAAGCCTGGCTGGCCCTGGCCCTTCTCTACAGAGGGAGCTCTCTGGGATTTTTTTTTCTCCCTGGATCACCAGGCTTCACAGTCCTTTGGCAGCCTGGAAGGTTCTATAGTGTTTAAGACCTGGACAGTGCCGGTGGTGGCCCAGGTGAGGGGCAGAGGGGCAGAGGGGGGGTGGGCAGAGAGAGGCAGAGAGAGGTAGAGAGGGCAGAAGGGAGTCTAGGGGAGAAGCGAGGGGCAGAGGGGGCAGAGGGGGCAGAGGGGGGGAGAGGTGGAGAGAGAGGGGCAGTGGGGGAGGTCCTTGCATGCAGAACTGGAAAAGCAGGGACTCTCATCTAGGGTGGGGATGGGAGGTGGAGGTTGATGAGACTCGTCAAACTGAAGTCTCTCCAATTCACTTTCAGGAAGGAGCTCCATTAACAGGAGCGTTTGGGGAAAAAGACAAAAACACTAATCACCATCCGAAATGTACATGCTATTTCCCATCTGGTGTGCGGAATTGGATCGTCTCGGGAGTCTCGGGGAAAATGCGGCAGATGGGCTGGGCTTGGAGCTCCTCTCCCCACAGGCAGCGGGGAAAAGAGGAAGTGGCTTGGCACAGGAAGCTGGCTGGAGTGAGGGGTGGTGGGCCTCTCACAGGGTGCCCATCTACTGTGGCCTGGGGAAGCTGCCCCACTCTCTGATGCCCGATGCCTGCAGCAGCTGTGCTGGCTGCCCCGTGGATTTGGATCCGATCTGGGAAGGGAGCTCCGGGTTTACTGAATCTAGACTTAGTCTGCAGTGGTGCTGGAAAAAAGATTCACGGGCGTCAAACACCGCTGGTGTGCTTTTCTCCCTGTGCTCCATCACTCACCATGGGTCATAGGTGTTTGTCAGTCTCAAAGAGGTCCCAATGAGGCCACTGACAAGTGCTCTGTGCCTGCAGGTCACTTCCTGTCTCAGACATCCTGATCAGGACATCTTGGCGTTCTCCATAGAGAATGGAGCCTAATGACTGATAGACTCCAGCAGGAAGAAGACTCACTCTAGAGCTCCTAGCCTGCCAGGCCAAATGAAGAGCTGTCCAGGGTCCCCATGCTGTGCCACAGACTTGTGAGTGGTGTGAGGCAGAAAAGCCTCACTGGCAGCGAGCAAGAGACCGGACCTTTTCCTGGCAGTTAGAAGGAGAGAAAGTGGGAGGAATAAGGAGGGTGGAAAGCAATGTCTCGGGCAGGAAGGACCAGAGAGAGTGGAGGCTTCTGGGACTATCTACTGCTAGGGCCCCATCTAGAGAGGAGCTGGCCCCTCCTATGACTCACTCATGACTTCTCTCCTACCAGACAGCAGGACACTACCAACACTCTTTCTCTCTGCTGTGACTTTCACTCTTTCTCCCCTGGGCACCCCTCCTCCAACATCTAATTAAAGGGAGGAAAGTAATTAAGGAAGGGCATGTAACATTCCCTGTAATGCTGAACCCAGTAACACCCCTGGCCCCTCCTCCACTCCCAATCCATCAATATAACGTGCAGAACAACTCAACCCAACACCGTGTTGTTTATTGCTTGCTAAGCTGGAAAGCACTTGAATTAACCTCCTGAATAAGTGGAGTTAGGAAAGATCCCAGCGTCTTTAAGTGGAAAGAAGATGAGAGCCAGCCAGACTCCTTTAAGGGAACTGAGGATGGGGCCCCATTCACTCATTTACCCCAGTGTTTTTCTCAGTGTCCACTATGGACCAGATCATGTGTTCACACTCAGGATGCTGTGAGGAGATGAGGAGATAAATTAGCATGGCTTCTACAGCTGGAAACGTGTGGTCCTCTGCAGTTTGAAAAATGGCAGCTCAAGCCCTGGGGAGGGAAGGGGCTGCTACATTGGAGAGGAG